TGCTATAGTGTCAGACTGTCAATGGATTGGATGCTCCTTTGGCCTTCTGGTGTGGGCACAGTAAGTATCTTCCTGCGCTGGTTTCTTTATTGATGGATCCGTGGAGTTTGGGGTCAGAAGGAGTCATCTCATCGTCCGTTCTGACCTTATGTCTCACATGTCGGACGTGCCCCAAGTGTCTTCCACGGGTGGGGAGCAAACAGATCGTGGGGACAGTGTGGGCACAAAGAGCCATGAGTACTTTCAAAGCGGGATCCATGTTCTTCTGTAATATTATAAACAAGTTGTCCTGTGGCACCTCAGAGACTTAACAAAAATGTATCTCGTGTCATGACCTGTCGTGGGCACAACACACTGCTCAGATGAACCTGAGCGGCTCACGTGAAATATGTTGGTTTGCTTAGAAATAAACCATTCTTGAGGTTACTACCCCGCCTGTACTACTGCAGAGCCTGCGATCAGAATGCAGGGCTGATGGCCAGCATGTGGGGAGCTGGCCAAACCCACCTGTATCCCAACAGGGTTTGGTGTCAATGAAGGACTCCAAATTGCAAAAGCCTCAAGCATCCATCTACAATTCTCCCTCCACTTTATTGGTTCTTGGCCTCTGTTTGCTGGAACTTTTACCCCGTTCCTAGCAGAGAGACCAGGTGTGGCATAATGGGGGGGCTGTCTGCTCTGTAACCCAGGGTCCCCCTGCACTGTGATGTTTGATTCCCACTGACTCACCCACATGGTGTGAAGTAGTGTCAGTACTTTGCTGGTTGCTGCGCTTGGGCTGTGGGTGACCCCTACTGGCCTCTGCCTATAAGCACAGCCCAGCAGGGGGGCTGCCTAAGTCATGTAGACAAAGACCCAACCGGTCAGATGAGTTGAGGGCAGCGAGGGAACGAAGGAAGTGAGTGTTCAGGGGTGTGGTGTAGTGTGGGGGCCTTGCTCGTTGCTGGGCAGTGGGCTGTGGGTGACCTCCACTGGCGGCTGTTTGTATCACAGCCCAGTAGGACAGCGGATGAGTCACTAGGCAAGGGTCTCCCAACCTGTCCGACCGGTCGCCTCCCAGGGAGAGGAACAAAGGGAGGAAGGCGGAGTGCAGCCCTAGCTGGAGGGGGTAGGGCTGGAAATTGGGCAGTTTCTGTCTGGGAAGCAGGGAAGAAGGGGCTAGGGAGGGGGCTGGGATTGTAGGGCCCAGCCCCCCCCGTCTCAAGGGTGGGGGGGCCCTGAGGCCTCCTAGCTCCAGTTCCTGTAACCAGATGGCATCTGTGCTGTGCTGTATCCTGGAGAAGCAATAAACTCCCTTTATTCTACTGGCTGGCAGAGTCTGTTCATGCCACTACAAAGGTGCAGGAGACAGGGAAACCCCAACGCGCCGCCACAGGGGGAAGGGGCAGTTGCTAGTTGGGAAACATGAAGGGAACAGCCTGAGCTGAGGGCTGAGGGGCAAGGAGCGATGGACCCTTAACCCGAGGGGTCTGAGGCATCCTGGCCCTGGCTCCTATAACCACATCACGTCTATGTGGTGCTATATCCTGGAGAAGCAATAAACCCTCTATTCTACTGACGGGTGGAGTCTGTTCTTGCTGCAGACGGGGTGCAGAATCAGGGGGAACTGACTCGGCGTCACACCTGGGCAGGCCACCATTACTCCAGGGGCATCCTTTCCTGCCTTTTTATCCAGGGCTATAACAGCCCCGATGCTCCATCTGTGCTACCCCTCACACTCACAATGGGGTTGCTTGGCACACACAGTTCCTGACAGCTCGAAACCTTCTTGAAGTCCTCCTTTGCTTCCCAACAGGTAACACCTGTCGTTCTGTTTAGCCTGTTCCATTCATGCTAGGGCTTTATGGCCTATACCAGGTTATGTGGCTATATGGTTTAGTATGTACATTGATACAATAGCCTGGCAATTCCCTTTTGGAACCACGATTAACGTTAGTTCATAGAATCATAGGACTGGAAGGGACCTCAAGAGGTCATCGAGTCCAGCCCCCCGCCCTCAAGGCAGGACCAAGCTCCGTCTACACCATCCCTGACAGATGTCTATCTAACCTGTTCTTAAATATCTCCAGAGAGGGAGATTCCACCACCTCCCTTGGCAATTTATTCCAATATTTGACCACCCTGACAGTTAGGCATTTTTTCCTAATGTCCAATCTAAACCTCCCCTGCTGCACTTTAAGCCCATTACTCCTTGTCCTGTCCTCAGAAACCAAGAGGAACAAATTTTCTCCTTCCTCCTTGTGACACCCTTTTAGATATTTGAAAACCACTATCATGTCCCCCCTTAATCTTCTTTTTTCCAAACTAAACAAGCCCAGTTCATGAAGCCTGGCTTCATAGGTCATGTTCTCTAAACCTTTAATCATTCTTGTCGCTTGTCGTTATTGTATTCCATTCTGAGTTTGGGAGCAATTGAATGTTTCCTATGATTTTCTTTGGGACTTTTAGTGGTTGTCTTGTTTGGAAATATAGGAAAAGCCTAAAAACGATTAACAAAATGATTAGTGACGTTAATACAACATGAAGATGTCATGTTACCTTGATAAGAGCTGTGACACAGGGAGACCATTTTTTAAAAGCAATTCACCAATGAAAAATAAATAATATCATCGGCAATGGCCATTTTGACCTTACGTTTACACGATTTAATTGGGCCGCCTTGTTCCACTTTTCCAAATACCTATTTTAATTGTTATTACACACGTACACCTATTGTCTAAAATAAACACAATTGTGCAATAGGGGCAAAATATTGCCTTTTGCACTCTTTGCATCAAGGTTTTAAGAGACTTTTGTTGGGGCAAGTTTGCTGGTGACACACCTATTTGCTTTACCCAAACTTTTTATGTTTTCATAATTTTGCAAATTTATGGACCCCCCTTTTTAAGTGTGCTTTACGAATTTCTATTTGCAAAAAGATTTTATTCATAAATTATAGCAACAGCCAAGTCATTGCTGTTCTGCTTACCCCCAACGCTGCCTTTTTGTGTTATGTAACAGCATTTTGCCCTGTCCCTGTTCTAAGGAATGGTTTGATTTTGACTAAACTGATTTTTTTGTTTTGATTTTTTTTCAAATAGGGGATTTCAAAACTATCCCTGTTGTAAATGGGTAACTCTCACTTCAGGCCAGGATACAAGGAAAATTTCTTGACACATTACGTGATTGCTTCTTGGAACAGCTGGTCCTGTTTCCCACAAGAAGAAAGAGGCAAAGTGGTCGAATAGGGAGAATCAAAATATATCATTTAGAAAATGGACATTAAATCCTCGTCTGGAAAATAGAGAGGACTGTTAACTCTGGGAAGTCAAGCCAGATTAAAATAGAATTTAGAACAAAAAGAATTTAACAAACAACTAAAGAAAAGTTATTTATTAGTTCCCTAAATAGAAGAACTAGAGGACGCCAAATGAAATTAATGGGGAGCAGGTTTAAAACTAATAAAAGGAAGTTCTTCTTCACACAGCGTGTAGTCAACCTGTGGAACTCCTTGCCAGAGGAGACTGTGAAGGCTAGGACTATAATAGAGTTTAAAGAGAAGCTGGATAAATTCATGGAGATTAGGTCCATAAAAGGCTATTAGCCAGGGGATAAAATGGTGTCCTTGGCCTCTGTTTGTGAGAGGCTGGAGAGGGATGGCAGGAGACAAATCGCTTGATCATTGTTTTCGGTCCACCCCCTCTGGGGCACCTGGTGCTGGCCACTGTTGGTAGACAGGATACTGGGCTAGATGGACCTTTGGTCTGACCCAGTACGGCCGTTCTTATGTTATGTAACTAGTCGAAGACTCTATAATTAATAGCAAAAATTGCTTCAATTACATCGGAATCAGAGAGCCTGCTAAGAATCACATGGGAGAACTTGCTGATTGGGTTGCTAAAGGAGCACTCAAAAACGATAAGGTCATTGAAGAGAAACTGAACAAATTCTTTGCTCTGCTCTTCTCTGCTGAAGATGGGAGGGAGATTCCCAAGCCGGAGCCATGCTCTTTAGGTGACAAGTCAGAGGAATTGTCCCAGATTGAGGTGTCATGAGAGCAGGTTTTGGAACAAGTAGATAAACTAAACGGTAACAAGTCACCAAGAGCAGTTGGCATTTGCCCAATAGTTCTGAAAGAACTGACATGGGAGATTGCAAAACTACTAACTGTGGTTTGTAATTTAACCTTTCAATCAACTTCTCTACCAAATGCTGATAAGTCTGATGTCAGTATAGGGCACAATATCTGAAACCATAGTCAGAAATTATGGAATTGGGATTAGCAGGGTCAATTTTCCATAGTTCATGTCTCTTACTAACAAAAATGTCATTTTCCATGTGTGAAGAGCGACCAGTTGGCTTCACGCATGAGAACAGCCTCCAGTAGAGTGTGTCGTGTCTCATATACACATTTTCTCTCCTTCCAGGCATCTGTACTGTGACCATCTCCCTAGGGCCTGGACACATACAGGAAATCAGGGGAAGGTACAGGAGAGTCAGAAACTGTTCTGCCTCGAATTGGAGAACTTCTCCTGACTCCATGTCAAATTCCAACACAACTGTCTTCACCAACCCCTCCACCTTCATCCTTCTGGGCATTTCTGGCCTCGAGGTGGCCCATATATGGATCTCCATCCCCTTCTGTGCCATGTACATCATAGCCCTCTTAGGGAACTTCATCATCCTGCTCATCGTGAAGACAGACCTGAGTCTCCATGAGCCCATGTACTATTTTCTCTGCATGCTGGCCATTACCGACCTGGTCCTGTCTACGTCCATCCTGCCCAAAATGCTGGGGATCTTTTATTTCAATTCAAGGGAGATCGATTTCAATTCCTGCTTCACCCAGATGTTTTTTGTTCATGGCTTCTTTATGATGGAGTCTGGGATCTTTGTGGCCATGGCTGTGGATCGCTATGTGGCTATCTGCCATCCCCTGAGATATTCCGCCATCATGACAAAGTCTGTTGTGGCCATTGGTGCCCTGATGGTTGTACTGCGCGGCATCATACTTATACTTCCCATGGTCCTTGTGGCGAGGCAGTGGCCATATTGCAGAACCAACATCATCCCCCACACACAGTGTGGGCACATGGGTGTGGTGAGTCAGGCTTGCGGCGACACCCGCCTCAGTAGTCAATATGGCCTTTTTCTAACAATCTGGGTGCATGGCGTGGATGTGTTTTTTATCGCTGTGTCCTATGGCCAGATCCTTAGGTCCATCTTCCTCCTCCCCACAAAGGACGCCCGGATCAAGACTTTTGGGACCTGTGGGTCCCACCTCTGTGCCATCATAATCTTTTACATCCCAGGCCTCCTCTCCTCCCTCATCTTCCGTTATCTCCAGAACGTGCCTCAATATTTCAATGTTCTCATGTCCAACATATGCGTCTTGGTGCCCCCCATGCTCAACCCCATCATCTACGGAGTGAAAACCAAACAAATCCGGGAAAGGCTACTTGGGCTAGTTAAACCTAAAGGCACCTAATGTTTGCTCCTGAGGCTCTAGCTCTCACAGCGAACTCTGTATGGAAATGGCTGTGGACCTGATGCTTCCCTGCATGAGCTCCTGACCGGTCACAGAGACATTAAAGCTTGTTGCTTCCCCCGTTGCTGTGTGTCAGAGTGAAGCACTGGGGTTAGGTCTGGGCATAGCTCTCAGACACACCCGGCCACCACCTTACTCATTTCAGGTATCTAACGGTATGTCTACACTACCTCGCTAGTTCGAACTAGCGGGGTAATGTAGGCATGCTGCACTTGCAAATGAAGCCCGGGATTTGAATTTCCCGGGCTTCATTTGCATAAGCCGGGCGCCGCCATTTTTAAATCCCGGCTCGTTCGAACACTGTGCTGCATGGCTACACGTGGCATGGAGTAGCTAGTTCGGATTAAGCTTCCTAATCCGAACTAGCTGTACTCCTCATTCCACGAGGCTTTTCATTGGCTTTGCCTCAGGCCCCTCGACTCCCTTACATGAGACCTACATGGACCCAGCCCATCAGTGTGTAAAGGTGGGTCTGGCCCACGAAAGCTCATCATCTAATAAACCATCTTGTTAGTCTTTAAAGTGCTACATTGTCCTGCATTTTGCTTCAGCTACCCCAGACTAACACGGCTACATCTCTACCACTATTGCACATTGTGAGGCATTCAGAAATTGTAGTGATGGGGGGGCATAGAAGGATCCCCAATAGGTTTCTCCTACCATTTGCCTCTCCTCTATTTAGAGTGGAAGTTCTTTGGGGCAGGGACTGCTCTTGCAATGTATGTGTGTGTGTCCAGGCCCAGCACCACAGGACTTTGGCCATGGTTGGGGACAATGAGTAAGCTATGTATGTAGAGATATTTGTGTGTCTGTCTGTGTGTGTGTGTCTTTCTGTGAGTCTATTTGGGTGTGTCTACACTACCCTCCTAGTTCGAACTAGGAGGGTAGTGTAGACATACCCTAACACCTGTGGCCTGTCCATCTACCCCACTTCTCCCTCATGGCCCTTCCCCTTCCCTAACTATTTTCTCAGGGCCACCATTGCTCACAACTCCCTTCCCCATCACTTAGGGTACGTCTACACTACAGCGCTAGTTCGAACTAACTTAGTTCGAATTAGTTAATTCGAACTAAGCTAGTTCGAACTAGCGCATCTAGAACTAAAAACTAGTTCGAATTAGCGTTTTGCTAGTTCGAACTAGCGCGTCCACACTGATTGGACGCAGGGCAGGGCTTAAGGATGGCCGGAAGCAGTGCCGGCAGGGCATAAAAGGAGGACTTAGGCTTGCACCTGGCACGGGCACCGTAGCCAGCCCGTGCCCCTTTAAGGGGTCCGGGGCCGGGAGGGGGGCATAGAGTTTCCCTGGTGTTGGCCAGAGTGGCCACCAGGGAAACCTGGGAAGCCTTAGCCTCCCACTAGTTCGAACTAAAGGGCTACACAGCCCTTAGTTCGAACTAGCTAGTTCGAACTAGGCGTTAGTCCTCGTAAAATGAGGTTTACCTAGTTCGAACTAAGCGCTCCGTTAGTTCGAATTAAGTTCGAACTAACGGAGCGCTAGTGTAGCGCATAGGAAAGTTAGTTCGAACTAACGTCCGTTAGTTCGAACTAACTTTCTAGTGTAGACATACCCTTACTGATCATCTCCACCTCCCAAGCCCCACAGCTGGAGGAAGTCTATTCTGACAACATCTGTTTCCTATGGACCCATGGAAAGGAGACCCTTGAACAATGTTACAGGGATTTCAACAACTTCCACCCAACCATCAACCTGAACCTGGACCAATCCACGCAGGAGAGCCGTTTCCTGGACACTACAGAACAATTAAATGATGGTCACATAAACACCATCCTATATCAGATACCTAGTGGCCACTATTCTTACCTGCATACCTCTAGCTTTCATGCAATACACATCACGTGATCCATTGTTTATAGCCAGGCCTAAGATACAACTGGATTTCTTCCAATCCATGAACAGAGATGAACATCTATAAGATCTTCATTGGGCATTCTTAAAACTGAAATATTCCCATGAGGAGGTGAGAAAACAGATTGACAGAATGAGATGAGTACCCTGAAGTCAACAAGACAGGCATAACAGATGTAAGTAGGGTCAGGATAAGCTCTACCCTAACATCTTGTGGTGAATTGTGGTGAGTGATGCAAAAAGACTTCAGGGACTGATCTCATTTTCATAGGTACACTCACCCTGCCTTGTATGTGCTCGCAGCAGCCCAAATGGTCACTTTGGCCACTGTGGGATCCCCAGTCTCTCTGTTATTGAGGCCGGGGGGGGGGGGGGGGGGGGGTACTTCAGGGACTGATCTCATTTTCATAGGTACACTCACCCTGCCTTGTATGTGCTCGCAGCAGCCCAAATGGTCACTTTGGCCACTGTGGGATCCCCAGTCTCTCTGTTATTGAGGCCGGGGGCGTCTCTTTCCACGGTGGAATATCAGAGCTAATTTGGATTCCGTTAGGAGTCTAGTTGCAAGCTGCTGAGTTGACTTCACTGTGGGCCAATGGAGCACTAGCACTGAGGCTCCTCTGTTGTGAGCTAAACTTGCTGAAGAGCTGAAATCAGTGTGTGCTGAGGGGAGCCTGGTGGTATACTGCGGAAAAGCGGAAATCAGGGCTGTGTCTACACTGGCGCGATCTGGTGCAAAAGCGGCTGCTCTTGCACAAAAACTTGCTGCCTGTCTACACTGGCCGTGTGTTCTTGTGCAAGTAAACTGATGTTCTAATGTATAAAATCAGGGCTTCTTGTGCAAGAACTCAGGAATAAGCCCTCTTGCACAAGAGCTTTCCAGAAAAGGCCAGCGTAGACAGGCAACATGAATTACTTTTGCAAGAAAGCCCTATGGTTAAAATGGCCATCAGAGCTTTCTTGCACAAGACAGCATCTACACTGGCATGGATGCTCTTGTGCAAAAGCACATGCCAGTGTAGATGCTCTCTTCTGGAAGAGATTTTGCAGAAGAACTCTTTCGAAAAAGAGTTTTTGCATGAAAATGCACCAGTGTAGACGTAGCCAGTGTTGCTGTGGGAAGCCTGGTGCTATACTGCAGAAGAACTGAAATCACTGTTGCTGTGGGAAGCCTGATGCTATACTGCTGAGCTACTAGCAGAGCAACTTGCGGGGACAACCAGCAAGAGCAGATGGCCAGTGGAGTGGTTTGCGGGGACAACCTGAAAGCACAGGCAGACAGCAGAGGGGTTAACGGGGATGACCGGCAGGTGCAGGTGGCCAGCAGAGCGGCTGGCAGGGATGACCTCTGGCCGGTAGGAGCGGCAGCAGGC